CCCTTCCCTTCTTTCTTCCCACTCTCCATTCTGTAAATATGTTTCTCTTATTGGTTAATGAATAAAACACTTGGCAAATAGGAAAGCAAGATAGGTGGGGCCAGGAGACAAGGAGGATGCTGGGAGATGTAGTCAAGGAGAGTCAAGATATATGCACTTGAGAGAAGAAATCTGGACCCTGTCTCCAGTAAGATAAGACCACATGGAAACACTTAGATTAATAGAAATGGGTTAATAGTTAAGACAGAGCTAGCCAATAAGTAATGCTAGTAATAGGCCAACAGCTTTATATCTAATACAGCCTCTCTGTGCGTAATTTGGGGCTGATGCAGCTCTGGGACAAGGCTGGCAGAAAACTGCTTGTAACAGGTGAGGGTAAGGCATCCTCTAGGAAGTCTACTAAGTCTGTCCCATCATCTTGTTGGGACAGGACCAAGACACCTCTCCAACCCCACACCCTGTGTCTAGGCTAAGCAAGGTATCTCTTCATATAGAATTGGATCCACTAAGTCAGTTTGTGCATTAGAGTTAGATCTTGGACCCACTACCAGTGGCCTCATATATTGTCCCAGTCACACCATTGTCATCAGTATTAAGGGAGTCTAGTTCAGCCTTATGCAAGTTCTCCATTTGTCAGACCTGAGTCAGAGATCTCTTACTAGGTTGGGTCAGCTGATTCTGTGTGTTTCCCCTTCATGGTCTTGACTCCTTTGTTCATTTTGTTCCTCCTCCTTCACTTCAACTGTACTCCAGGAGCTTGGCCCAATGGTTAGTTGTGAATTTCTGCATCTGTTTTCATCTGTTTCTGGAAGAGGGTTCTAGCTTCTTTGGGCATGTGGATTGTAGGCCGGGTATTGATGGGAGATGTCATTCTGTATATGTTTCTCATACTGGTTAATGAATAAAGCACTGTTGGCCAATAGGAAAGATAGATAGGTGGGAGTAGGAGATGAGGAGGAAATAGGAAGTAGGAAGGAGTCAAGATGGAGAGTCTGGAGAGAATATAATCGCCAGCCACCTCTCGCTGGTAAGACCACGTGGAAATACATAGAAATGGGTTAATACTTAAGACAAAGCTAGCCTATAAGAAACAAGTAACTGGCCAACAGCATAATATCAAATACAGAGTCTCTGTGTATTATTTGGGGCTGGCGCGGAGGCGGGACAGACCAGGCGTTGGGCAGAAAAACTGTACTCCTTACAGGGTATATTTTGCTTTATGTCTTGTATCCACTTATGAGTGAGTGCATACTATATTTGCCTTTCTGATTTTGGACTAACTCACTCAGGATGCTTTTCTCTATTCTGTTCATTTGCCTGTGAATTTTAGGATGTCTTTGTTTCTTACTGCTGAGCAATCCATTGTATAAATATATGACATTTTCTTTATCCATTCTTCAATTGAAGAGCATCTAGGCTGTTTCCAAGATCTGGCTATTATGAATAATGTTGCTATGACCATAGTTGAGCAAATGAACTTGTTGTAAGGGTACATGCCCATTTATTAATTGTTGATCTCAGTGTCTGTGCTGCTGGTGTTATGTTCAGGAAGCAGTCTCCTGTACCAATTTGTTCAAGGGTAGCTCCCACTTTGTCTTCTAAGAGGTTCAGTGTGGCTGGATTTATATTAATTTCTTTGATCCATTTGGACTTCATTTTGTGCATGGCAATAGATATGGATCTATCTGTAGTCTTCTACATGTCAGCATCCAGTTATGCCAGCACCATTTGTTGAAGATGCTTTCTTTTTTCTATTATATAATTTTAGCTTCTTTGCTAAAAATCAGATGTTTGTAGGTGTATGGGTTAATATCAGGATTTTCAATTCGATTCCATTGGTCTTTCTGTCTATTTTTGCGACAGAATACTAAGCTGTTTTCAGGACTATAGCTCTATAGTAGAGCTTGGAGTCAGGGATGGTGATGCCTCCAGAAGTTCCTTTATTGTAAAGTGTTATTTTGTGTTTCCTGGGACTTTTGTTTTTCCACATAAAGTTGAGTATTGTTCTTTGAAGATCTGTGAAGAATTGGGCAGGAATTTTTATGGGGTTTGCATTGAATCTGTAGATTGGCTTTTAGCAAGATTGCCATTTTTACTATGTTGATCCTACCTATCCAAGAGCATGGGAGATCTTTTAATTTTCTGGTATCTTCTTTAATTTCTTTCTTTAAAGAGTCAAAGTTCTTTTTATACAGGTCTTTCACTTGCTTGGTTATAGTTTCCCCAAGATTTTTTTAATGTTATTTGTGGCTATTGTAAAGGGTGATGTTTCTTTGATTTCCTTCTCAGCCCATTTGTCATCGGTATTTAGGAGGGCTACTAATTTTTTTTTAGTTAATCTTGTATCCTGCTACATTATTGAAGGTGTGTATCAGTTGTAGTAGTTCCCTGGTAGAATTTTTGTGGTCACTATCATACTAACAGCAAATAGTGAGACTTCGATTTCTTCTTTTCCAATTCGTATCCCCTTGATCTCCTTTTTGTTATCTTATTGCTATAGCTAGAAGTTCAAGTACTATGTTGAATAGATAAGGAGAGAGTTGGACAGCCTTGTCTTATTCCTGACTTCAGTGTAATTGCTTTGAGTTTTTCTTCATGTAGCTTGATGTTGGGTTACTGTATATTGCCCTTATTATGTTTTATGTATGTTCCTTATATCCCTATTATCTCTAAGACCTTTATCTAGAAGGGGTTAGAAGGGGTATTCAGTTTTGTCAAAGGGTTTTTCAGCATCTAGTGAGATGATCATATTTTTTTTTGTTTTGTTTTGTTTTTTTTTTATTCACTGTGTTTATATGATGGATTACATTAATGGAGTTTTGCATGTTGAACCTTACCTGGCGGCTCAAGCTTTACCTGGCTGCCAGAGGACTCAGTTATGCCTGCGCAAGCCCCACTTTTAAAGCAAGTGCGCCAAGCGCGTCTCTCTCTCTCTCTCTGGCTCCTGCTCTCTCTCTCTCTGGTCTCTCTCTTTCTGGCTTTCCTCTCTCTCTCTCTCTTTCTCTCTCTCTCTCTCTCTTGCTCCCCCTCTTGCTCTCCCTCTCTGCCCCCTCTCTCCTGCTTTCGGTTGGCCACCAGCTACCCCCTCTTTCTCTCCCTTCTCTCAATAAACTCCACGTGGGCTCTGAGTCTCATGTTTGTGTTTCTTAGGCATTAGCTGCCGCAAAAGAACAACAAAAAGTATATTCTTTTGTGTTGTGGTGGAATGTTCTATAGATGTCTGTTAAGCCCATTTGATAACAACTGTTATTTCCTTTATTTCTCTGTTAAGCTTCTGTCTGGCAGATCCCATCCAGTGGTGAGAGTGGGGTGTTGAAGTCTCCCACTATTAGTGTGTGGGGCTTGATTTGTGATTTAAGCTTTAGTAGTGTTTCTTTTACAAATGCAGGAGCCCTTATGTTTGGGGCATAGATGTTCAGAATTGAGATTTCCCCTTGATGGATTTTTCCTGTGATGAATATGAAATGCCCTTCTTTATCTTTTTAAATTGATTTTAGTTTGAAGTCTATTTTGCTAGATATTAGGATAGTTATACCAGCTTGTTTCTTATGTTCATCTGTTTGGATAATTTTGTTCCCAACCCAACTCTGAGGTAATGTCTATCAGGTTGAGGTGTGTTTCTTATATGCAGCAGAAGGATGGATTCTGTTTTTGTATCCAATCTCTTAGCCTATGTCTTTTTATAGGTGAGTTGAGACCATTTATATTAATGGATATTAATGACTAGTGATTGTTAGTTCCTGTTATTTTTGTTGCTGGTGACTACATTTTGTGTTCAATTCCCTTTGGGATTTGCTTCTGTAAGCTCATGTGTTTCCTGTGTTCTTGTGAACGTTGGTGATTTCCTTGGGTTGGTGCTTTCCTTTTAGTACTTTCTGTAGGGCTCGGTTTGTGGATAGGTATTGTTTAAATCTGGTTTTATCATGGAATATCTTGTTTTCTCCACCTATGGTTATTGAAAGCTTTGCAGGGTATAGTAGTCAGGGCTGTCATCCACGATCCCTTAGTGTCTGCATAACCTCTGACCAGGACCTTCTGGCTTTCATTGTTTCCATTGAGAAGTCATGTGTAATTCTGATAGGTCTGCCTTTGTATGTTACTTTGCCTGTTTCCTTTGCAGCTCTTAATATTATTTCTTTATTCTGTATGTTTATTCTTTTGATTATTATGCGGCAAGGGGACTTTTTTTTTGGTCTAGTCCATTTAGTGTTTTGTAAGCCTCTTGTATTTTCATAGGCATGTGTTTCTTTTGGTTTGGAAAATTTTCTTCTATGATTTTTTTTTCCAGAAACACTTTTTCCTTTTATTTCAGAATAAAGGAAATAAAGGCAGCCACTTGACCTGCTCCACCACATATCCACAATGTGGAGTGCGGGTGGGGGATAGGGCCAGTGTCCCAGAAAGCAGGCCCTTCCCCCAACTGTCCCTTCCCTCCAGGTGGCAGGGTTAGAAAAACATTGACTGGTGGTCCCTTCCCTGGCTGTGGCTGGATACTGGAGTCCAGGAGGAAGTGGGGGCAGGAGAGGGAAAATCCCCTCCCAGGCAGAGAAGCTGCCCTGGCTGGCTATGGGGAGGGGTGGAGGTAGGTTTTGTGGCAGAGGGGAGAGAAGAGCCCTGGAAACCTTTTCCCTGTAACCTGACATATTTATATATTTACAGCAATAAAGGACAAGGGGAAGATGGAGGGTGGTCGGGGTTAACATTGGTTCTTCCAAGGAGGGGAATGAGAGCCACTTAGCACCCCTATCCAGGTCACATTTTACTGCCTTCTAGCTCCTAAAGCATCCACTGGGAAAGGTAGATGGTAGAAGGTAGAGGGAGGAAATATTGGAATGAAGGGCTGGAGCCATGGCTCCTTCCAAAGGTGAGCTGGCTGAAGAAAAGCAGCAAGCTCCCACCAAGAGAAGGAGCCTGGGGGAGAGGTGGCAGAAAATCCCCAAGTGCTGTCACTTTTCTTGCCTTCCCCAGTTCCACAGCCCCCCCCAAGCTGGCTGAAATGGCTATGCTAGGCACATCTCCTCCAGGACACTGTGCGGTGACTCATCCTCCTGAGACAGACAAGGGTGACGCAGAAACATCAGGAAGGGCAGGCAGGGTGGGCGAGAAGGGATCAGAGTCAGGGGAAACACAGACACATGGGGGTTGAGGGAAGAGAAGCTGATGTGATCCCAAGGCTGGAGTGCTGTAAGCCCTCAGCTGAGGGGTGCCCGCAGGCCCCATGACACCACTCCCAACACCCACAGTGGCAAGGAGAGGTGGAGGCCAAGTCCATCACCAACTGGAAGTTAAAGCTCTGAACTGGGGGAGCAGGTGTGCAGCTTCGGAACCCATGGGCAAGAATCACGAAGCTGGAGCAGGATGCAGAGGAACCCTAACTTCCAGGGATAGGTAGTGTGGATGCTTGGTCCACGCCTTTTAGAGTGGAGAAGACAGTAAGACATTGGTACCAGCCTGCCTGGGGAAGGGAAGACAGACTTCTGAGTGATGAGTCACTAGGGTCTAGTAATGAGGGGACACACACACATGCATCTCTGTGTGTGTGTGTGTGTGTGTGTGTGTTTAAGGGAGTGAAGGCAACCTAGACTAGTGGGGTGATCTCAAGTTTCATTCCACCATTTCTCCCCTTATAGAGTTAACCTCCCTCATCCCCCCATTCCTCCCCCTCCTCAGAGCTAGCTCAAGCCAGCTTGCTTGTCACTGCAGAGTCCTGATGACTCATCTCCCTGCACCAAGGCTCAGCAGTAGCATAGCAGAGAGGGGACAAGCAGCGATGTGTAGAGAGGGGTGTGGCAGATAGCAGGGGGAACTAATAGATGCCCTCCAAGCCAGCCCCAGGACCCCACAGCTGTTGGTTCCTGAGCAACAGAGGGGTGTGTGTATGTGTGTCCATGTTTTTAAAAGTGAGGATTAGGCAGAGCTGGGAAGGCTGCTCAGTCATTAAGGTATCTGTCATGTAAGCATGATGACCTGAGTTCAGATCCCCAGCAACCACATAGAAGGCTGGCATGGAGGTGTGGGTCTGTAATCCAAATGTTTGTGAGGCAGGAGTTGAGACAGAAAGATCCCTGGAGGTCAGTGGCCAACCAGCCAGGCTGAATGGGTAAACTCCAAGTTCAATGGTTAAACTGTCTGAAAAAATAAAGGTAGAGAATGATTGAGGAAGATACCCAATTTCAACCTTTGGCCTTTACGTACATATGTGTGTACACACACCCCTCACATTACACACAAGAACACATAGACAGGCAAAGTAGGGACCAGGGTCCCAGGCTCCAAGAGAGAAAGACAGACAGACACAGAGAGAAGCAGATATGAAATCAAGGAAGAACAGGCTTCTCTACCATGAACCACTCACCAATTCTCTAAACAATCCTTACCATCAAGAGAACCACTAAGTCAAAGGCGATTGGGCCAGGACAGGACAGACACCTTGGGTCTTAGGAAGAGGACACAGCTTAGAAGGAAAGAGGGCAAAGCTGGCACAAGTAGAAGATGGGCCCACCCACCTCCTGTTCCAGGGGTTCAGGACCCAGGGCAGTTAGACAGCAGGGCGTGATGGGGGCCAGACACCACAGGGAGGGGGGCCCACTCGTTGACAGGCGGGGTGTCCGGGGGAGAGGGAATCCCCTCGGCCACAGTATTCCTCTTCCTCCTCACTGTCCCGGGCTCATACCTCCTGCAGCAGGTGAGCCTGCTCAATGGCCTTAAGCACACTATTCTTGAAGGTGTCCTGGATGTTCCTACCCATCAAAAACTCATCCAGGATATAGTAGGCTTTCTCAAAGTTAAAGATGATGTCCATTTCACACACGCTGACATAGTACTTGTCCAAGAGCTCTAGGTATCGATGGATCCACTCCATTGTGATCAGGTCATTGTCTTGACTTTCTATGGAGCAGCAGAAATAGAGATTGGCGTACCTCTTATAGATGACTTTGAGGTCCCTCCACTCCAGGAAGCTGCACATCTTGGGCTTTCGAGCCAGGATGAGTTCCAGGACCATTTTCTTCCTCTCCTTGTCTGAGGTGGCCAGGTACCATTTTTGCAGCCAAAGTTTCCCCTGCCGGCTGAACAGTAGGCTGAACAGTAGCATGAATTGCATCGTTCTGCAGCCTAGTACGTCCCTCTCTTCTATGATTTATATTTTTTTAAATATATTTTCTGTGTCTTTGAGTTTGACTTCCTTCTTCTATCCTTATTATTCTTAGGTTTGGTCTTTTTATGGTATCCCACATTTCCTTCATGTTTTGTGGTAATGATCTGTTGGATTTAACATTTTGTTTGACGAATGAATCTATTTCATTTCCAGAATTCCCTTAGTTTGTGTGTGTGTGTGTGTGTGTGTGTGTTTTAATTGCCTCTATTTCAGATTTTATGTCTGGAATCATTTCCTTCACTTGTTTGATTGCTTTTTCTTGGTTTTCTTTAAAGGATTTGGCGATTTCTTCCACTTTTTTGTTGTCTTTCCCTCCATTTCTTTAAGGGCCTGAATCATCATCATAAAGTTTTTTTTGGTTGTCTACTTACACTTTCTCTGTGTTGGGATGTTCATGTCTTGCTGTTGTAGCACCACTAGTCTCTAGTGGTGGTGTATTGCTCTTTATATTGTTGTGTGTACTCTAATCTTGTTGTCTGTACATCTCTTCCTTCATTCAGTACAGATGGAGCTTGTGCTTCAGGGGTTCTCTCTTTCTCCAACTGATATAGTTGGGAGCTGTGACTCCATTGACTACTCCTTCCAGCACACGTAGAGCAGAGCTTCCGGTGAACGCTCCTCCTGATGGAAGTGGCCCAATTCTCAGGTGGTCACTCCTTGAGGTCCAGGTAGGGCTATCGTTCCGGTGGACGTGTCTCCTGTTGGAGGTGTAGGTGGGGTTGAGGGTCCAGTGGATCCTGTAGCAGTGGGGTTTCTCCAACCAAGAAATGGCATTGGATGCTGCCTGGGACACAGGTGCTCTTCCCCAGAGGAACTTTTTGTGATAGCATTTAAGCTACTGCTGGAAACTACTGCTGTTGACTCACTCCATCACTTCTTTCTCCTAGGCCTGAGACTGGGGCCTCCCTCTGTCACCACTCCTGGGTCTGAGGCTCATTGCTTCCTTGACACTGTTCTGGGCCTGAAGCTGGGGTTTTCCTCTGATGCTGCTTCCAGGCTGAGATTCGAAAGGTAGCATTTTTACAATAGCAAGAACTTTGTTATGCTGATGAATGTTACAACAGAAAAGCAATGTAATGCAAGTGGTGATTGAGTTACAGTAAAGCAGAGCACATGAGATTGCTGTTGTAGCACTGCTGTAAGGATTCTGCTTGGACTAGCGTAGAAGAGCAGGGCACGCACATCTATAACTAAAGCAGTACACAGTGGCCTCTTAGGAACACACAGGCATGTGATGTGAAAATACCACACAGGAACAATGTTACCTATACCAATGTACTACTACTACTACTACTACTACTACTACTACTGTGATATGTGTAGTGGGATAGTCCTTCTGTGGCACTATCCCACTACAGATATGTGTTAAAGGCTACTTACAACAAAGCATAGAAGATAAGTTGCTTGCTTCAGTACAGCACCAATACATTCCTAAGTACAATGGGATTGTAAGAATGTAGTGAAAACTGGCACTTTTACAAAAGCAAGGACTTTGTTACACCAATGACCAGTACAACAGAGAAGTATTGTAACGCACGTGGGGATTGACTTGCAACAAAGCAGAGTACATGTTATCTCTATTGTGGGATTGCTGCAAGCATGCTGCTTGAGCACAGCATGCACATCTATAACTGACGCGGTATACAGTAGCATCTTAGGAACACACACAGGTGATGTTAAAATGCCACACAGAGATATATTAGCCTATAACTATGTATTACTACTATAGCAATATCCTTTCACAACAAAGAGTATGAAATTATCCATACAACTATGACGTTGCTTGTTTCAGAACTGCAGAGCACACAATCCTAAATGGATTTGGATTGTTAAGATCACAATGATTTTTTTTTCATTGTAGACCAGTGGTCTTTGGTGTTATACTAGGTCTCTAGGATATCCAGTTTCTGGAAGTAACAATAAAATGACTCCTGATGACATTCTGCTATACTCATAGATAGTGCCTTGTTTGGCCATCATCAGAGAGGCTCCTCCTACAGAAGATGGAACAAATACAGAGACCCATAGCCAGACATTTTGCAGGGAAAGAGACCCTGGAACACACAGCTCTAAATGGGATATCTCCATGAAATCCCTACCCTGAGAGTTCAGGGAACCACTCAGAAGAGGAAACAGGAAGAGGGGATAGAGGACACCAGGAGAACAAGTCCCTCTAAATTAACTGTGCAAAGCTCATATGAACTCACAGAGATTGGAGCAGCAAGTACAGGGCCCATACAGGTCTGCACCATTTATCTGTGTATATATTATATCTTTCTGTGTATATATTATATCTTTCAGTTTAGTACTTTTATGTGTTTACTATGGATAGTAGTCTGTGCTGGTATCTGTGGTCTCTTAGAGTCTGCAGCTCATCTGCCCAGGCCCTTCTGGTTTTTAGAGTCTCCATTAAGGAGTTGGGTGTAATTTGGATAGGTCTGCCTTTATATGTTACTTAGTTCTTTCTCCTTGCAGTTTTAAAATATTCTTTCTTTGTTCTATATGTTCAGTGTTTTGATTATGTGTCAATGGGACTTCCTTTTGTGATCTAATCTACTGGGTGTTCTGTATGCTTCTTGTACCTTTATAGGCATGTCTTTTAGTTTAGGGAATTTTTCTTCTATGATTTTGCTGAAACATTTTTTGGCCCTTTGAGCTGGGATTCTTCTTCCTCCATTCCCACTATTATTAGGTTTGGTCTTTTCATAGTGCCCCAGATTTCCTGGATGTTTTGTGTCAGTAACTTTTTAGATTTCCCACTTTCTTTGTCTGATGCATCTATTTCTTCCATTACATCTTCAATACCTGAGATTCTCTCTACCATGTCTTGTATACTGTTGGTGTAGCTTGCCTCTGTAGTTCCTGTTCAAAATTCTAAGTTTTCCATTTTCAAAATTCCCTCAATTTGGGTTTTTCTTTATTGCTCCTATTTCCATTGTCTTGAACAGTTTTATTCATTTCCTGTGTTTTCCTGAATTACTTAAAGGGATTTAATCATTTTCTATTCAAGGACCTCTATCATCTTCATACTGCTTTAAGTTTTTTTTCCTTGTGCTTCCCCTATGTTGGAATACTCAGAGCCAGCTGTGGTAGGATAGCTGGGTTCCAGTAAAGACATATTGGCCTGGCTATTATTGATTGTATTTTTATACTGATGTTTAGGCATCTGGGATTGGGATGATTATATGTCTAGGTACTGATTTCTGGTCCTGTCTTCATTGGGTGGGTGTTTTGTTCCCTGGTTTCTGTTTGCTCTGATGACTGCGTGTTTTCTAACAGGAAATTTTCTGCATATCTGATAGTTGTGGCCATTGGAGGTTCCAGATAAAATGGGTTTGTGTGTATTGGGAGCTAAAACTTAGGAATGGGGGTACACTAGGGGTCTGGAGGGGTTGACAGGCTCGAGGAGAGCAGAGTGTTCAACCAGGATCTGCTGATTTAGTCTCCTTGGAATGGGGGACACAGTGAAGAGAGGTCACCACAGAGGATCTGCTATAGCGCTGGGGATGAGACGGAAATTGGATCTGCTTCCCTGGCCTGCTCAGCTGGTCTTTTCTTTTCTTTTTCTTTTTCTTTTTATATGATAATACTTTTTTTATTTAAATTTGAAACAAGCTTGTTTTATATGTTAATCCCAGTTCCCTCACCCTCCCATCCTCTCCTATCTCCCTCACCAACCCCTATCCCATCCTCTTTCTGCTCCCCAGGGACTCCCATGGGGAGTCTTCAAAGTCTGTCATATCTTTTGGAGCAGGGTCCAGGCCCTCCCCCATGTATCTAGGCCTAGGGAGTATCCCTCTATGTGGAATGGGCTCCCAAAGTCCATTCGTATACTAGGGATAAATACTGATCCACTACCAGAGGCCCCATAGACTGCCCAGGCCTCCTAACTAACACCCACATTCAGGGGTCTGGGTCAGTCCCATGCTGCTTTCCCAGATGTCAGACTGTTGTCCATGTCAGCTGGTGTTTTCATGGTGAATAGCCACTGGCATCGGAGACTGAGAAAATGGGATGAACTAGGGGAAGGAAGGACTGACTATTGGAATGGGGTCAGAGAGGAAAGTCAGACCACAGCAGGTGTTCTGCTTCAGAGCTGGGGATATAACTGGAGGGACTGGAGGAGCTGAGGGAGACATGAAGATCTGCAGTCAGCCCACCTGTTTCCTTTGTAGAATTGGCCTTTGGGTTAGCAGAGGCTTCTATTCCATTCTCTGTCCTGGAGCAGCAGTGCTATTATGATAATGTTTTGTCTCTGCTTTTCTGTAAATCAGTCACTGCTTTTGTTACAGTAATCTGTATGATATTCATCCTTTCACCAGATTGCTTTGTCTATTGTAAAGTAATGTAATTTTCACTGTGTTGTTAACAAATAGCAGTTCACATGGGAATGCATGTGCTGCTGTACTGAAGCAAGTAACTTCAGTCTTATCTGAGCAGTCTTGTACGTTTTGTGGTGAATAGATTATAGATATGGCTGCAGTAGTAGAATGTTGAATTTTTGCAAATATGGCATTGTGAGGTATTTTACTCACATGCGCCTGTGTTTTGCAAGGATCCACTATGAAGAGCCTCAGTTACAGATGTGTATGCTGTGCTCTCAGACTTCATTCTTGTTCAGTCAGGGTCCTGGTGCAATGTTACAAAAATAATCCTAGGGCCTCTGCTTTTCAGCATAACAATACCTACATGCCTTACAGTCCTTCTCTGTTGTAATGTTCATCATCATGATAAACTTCTTCCTGTTGTAAAAGTACTGTAAATACATGCTTCCGGTCCTGACCACCTGCTCTCCGCCATGGCAGCTGCTTCCAAGTTACCGTACAGAGGCCTAATATTATTTATAAATGCTCGGCCAATACCTCAGGCTTAGTACTAATTAGCACTTACATTTAAATTAATGCATTTTTATTAATCCCTATATTGTCACGTGGCTTGGGGCATTA